AGCCGAATTACTGAGATCCGTTTACCTCCTTTTATTCCCGACACAAAGGTGGAGCCATGATGGGACTAATGAAATGATAATATTGCATGAAGATGAAGTCGCGATGGGATGCTGAGCAGTGGAAGTGCGAGAGTTCCGAGGTAACTTGCTTCGAACCAGCTACAGTTCCACCGTAGGTACATGGAAGTCGAACCCTGGTACCCAGAGGAGGAAAGAGAGAGAGTTGTGCTCCCTGCAACTCAGGTCGCCCTCATCGTAGCCATCGAACTATCAAAAAGCGATTACACATTCCTCACTGATAGGTCTTCCTCATATTTCTCCTTGTATTCTCAGTAGTATTTCGTACCGTGACATTTCGAGATATGAGAATGTTGTATCATATTTTTTTTAATATCAGATAGTACTTCATTATGTAACCCAATTCCGTATTATTGGCTTTATTATGAAAATTAATTCATTTTCCCCGAAACATGATTTTATCATTAAATTGTTTTTACACATTTCAATTGATTTTTCTCTTTCGACGGAGGAATATTATTTTTCTGTGAGAAAATGCCTCAACGGTACGGGAAATTTACGGAAACATTATGCAGGGAAGTATGTATAAGTCTTCTGCGGGGTGTCGTTGAATCACAGTGACACGTTTATTGGCGGGACGACCGCGATGTTTCTTGGCGCAGCGTCGCGATACCTCCTTGTCTCGATTCAACTGCGCTGCACCTTCTCGGGCGTTTCGGGTTGGTGACACGATGCACGTACAGCTGGCCGAGTGCTTAGTCACTGGCGAAAAATACGCAGCTTGCTATCCTTCTCGTTGGGCTATTTTTAGAAAAAGTGATTTTAGTGAAGCATGAAATGTACAGTACGTGGTGGCATAAAATATGAAATAAAAAACGCACTTTTTTAAAAATATTAAATATTTATCTTGAGCATTTCATAGTATGTTTCAAGGAGGTTCAAGACAATAACAGAACACTAGTTTACTTCTCTAAATTTATATAAGATCTTTGCCATTTCCTTTCTCTAATAGCGATGCGATGTTACTCTATTGCAAGTAGTCTGATAAACATCCAATGATCTGCTTTCAAAATTTGATTGCTCTGCCAGTCTTGTTTTGCTTAGCTGTAAATGTGCAAATTTTGGCCTTCTTATGGACTGCTGCTTGAATGAATGCAACTGAAATTGTTTTGGTTTTTATAAAATATCCGTAGGGTCGTGTGAAGGCAAATGAAATTCTATGAAGCCAAATTATTTGAGTGAAAATTCTTGCTTTAACACATAGTCTAGTTTTATGCGTAAATTAAATAATTGTGGAGTATTTAGCAAAGTTTAAATATATAATATTACGTAGGTAATGAGATATAATTTTCCTTTAAAACTTAAATGCAAACAATTCCATACGCACTTAGATTCCATATCGCATGCAGTAAACTCCTCGCTTTCTAAACTCTGAGTCATTCAGACGTTTCCCCGAATGCGTCCTCTCGCCCGCCCTCCATTGGCTCGATACCCCTTGCGCCAGCCTCGGATCGAAGTGTGTCGCCCGCAGAATAGGCGGGGCGGCGGCGGCTAGGTCGCGCGGTTCGGGGTGCGCGGGCAGCCTCTGAAGTAAAAGCCGCCGCCGCCGGTGCAGGGGCGCTG